TAGCGCCAGGAGGAGCGGGCTGAGTAAGAAAAACAACAGGGATGAGAGCCAAGAAGCTCTTAGAGAAAGGGAAGTCCTACTGCTGCGTTTGCCCTTCGTGTGCCGCAGCCGGGTCCCAGGGAAGAGGGGTCGGAAGAACTGAATCGCACGGCCAGGGTGGTCCGGCAGCTCTGCTTTGCTGCAGCTGTGCTCTGACTGACAGCAACCCTGGGAGCGAGGCTGTAGCGTACAATCTGATGGAGAGGATGGCAGAAACACCATCTCAAATGAAGGAGAAGGAAGGTAAGAGCTAGGATTTGAGCAGCTCTGGTGACAGGATGGTGGGGGCTCACCAGATCCCCACATTGGTCCAAAAGAGCTTTAACTAGCATGCCTGCTCTCTAAGCTACAAGTGGTTTCTCTGCTGCCATCCCTGCCTGCCAGGGTGACGCTGGTCCACAGGCGCTCAAAGTGATTTATCTTTCTCATGGAGAAACCTTGTGTCCTGCGTTCCAAACCCTGGTGCCTGCAGCCCATGGCAAGCGGCACGTGCCTGCATGGCCTTAGAGCCCACAGGGTCCTGTGAGACAAGAGCTGCTTGTCGTTCCACATAAAGGCCCCATTATTACCAGGCAGGGCGTAAAGAGGAGGAGCAAGGCCAATTACACAAAGACAAAGGGCTAAACACTCATTCATAGTATTTGGAAATGGCGTTGCAAAAGGATAAACAAATAAACCCCAGTGCCTAAGCTGCTTGACGGTGTGAGCTTTATTCCCAGCCTCTCCCTGAGGTCTCTTTGGTACTCTTGGTTAGTGCTACCAAGAGCTCTGCCTTCTGCAGGAGCATCGCAGAACTGGTCAATGGGACATGGCTTAGCATGTACCTGGGGCTGTCACAGCAAGGACATGCCTCTGGGGATCCCGAAAGAGCACCACACAGTCACAAGCAAGAGAGAGAAGAAGGAATTTAGGAAGCTGCTCCCAATGGCAAGTCTGCGGTCTGCCTTGCTAGACTACCATGAGCAATCTATGTAGTGCATGTAGTAGAATGAAGGCTCCAGAGCAAATAAAGTGTGTGCAGTTAATAGTCCTGATGCTGTGAAATCTGCAAAGTTTTGCTCTTTTAAAAAATGTAATGAACAGCAGAAGTCAACCAGATAGGAAGAGGTATGCCAAGTGGAAGATTATGACTCAAGTGTTAAGTAAGGCTGGAAGGGAGAGATGGTACATCCCAGCGCAGAAGTCAGGATGGGTGGATGAGCCTGCCAGGCAAGCAGTGCTCTAGTACACAAAATTAGGAAGCAGATTTTTGGGGGGCAAAAAATAGAAATGAGCTAAAGTGGGAAAGGAGCACTCAGAGAGGCCCAGGGAGTGTGATTGCCGACAGCAGAAGCTGGAGTTAGATGTTGTCCAGGGAACATCTGAGGTGCTGAAACACTCAGAATAGTCTCATTGTGAAGTATTAGCCGAAATTACATTTTCCTGTTGCAAGCTCTGTGTTCCAAACATTGTAGTCCGTTGTTTAACCATTATCTCAAACAACCAAGCTAAACTTATTCTTTATGTTTAAACCTTGCCCTGCAATAATGATAGTGTCAACATGAATCAGACATTGCACTCTGCTGTACACCAGGCCCCGTCTGTCTCATTGGTGGGAGATGGACACGTCCAGGGCCATTCTGATCCAATCCTAGGGCCTGTCCTCCAGGACAGGGTGGGACTGAACCCCTCCTGGGGTGCCACCTTTCTCTGAGGGCTGCTAGACAGGCTAGATGATGAGCATAGATCAGGCACCTGAAGGTTTGCAGCATGTAGGGGTGTGTGGACATTGTCCTGCTGCAAAGGCTGTCCTTAGGCAAGTGACACTGAGCTGTGGTGGGTGAAATCCATGCTCTTTCTGGTGATGGAGGTAGGATATGGTGAGGGGAGGAGAGCCCTGCTTGAAACGCAGCAGCACAGGCTTTGCACACCCTTTGCTGATGAGTTATTGCTCCTGAGCTTTTGCACCACCCTGCATGGTGCAATGGCTCAGAGCAGCTACAGAGTACATCAGTGTCACTCTGGGCTGGCAAGTCCTGGAGACTGGTCCAGGACTGCTATTGCTGATGCAGGGACGGGCTCTGCAGTGATGGAGCATTGCTCTGATGGCTGGGGCCTGCTGTGCAGGAGGCTAGAACTGGTGTCTTGTGAATGCGCAGGTGCAAGGGGGAATTTCTCCAGACACAACCAACAGTTGAGTTTGATGAGGTGTTAATTAGACCATTCATGCAGCCTGAACTGTTGGAGAGCAGACCACATTAGCTACCTACTGCGTATGGGTACAGGAATCCCAGAACTGCTCAGAATTTGCTTGGGGAAAAAAATTGCGAGATTCTAAGGAATTAACATAGATTTTAACAGTGGATCAGGAATCAGACACAAAGGTTAATGCATGACTGAATCACACATTCAGTGCTGGAAGAGAAGAAACATGAGGGAAAGCTATTAGGAAGAAGACATGCTAACATGTTAAAACTCAGAACTTTTGGTACAAAACTTAGGCTGGCACCTCTGGACAGATTTGGCTAGGGGCTCTGATGACCTGTTGTTCCTCGGCTGGTGCAGCCTAGTTTTTGCCACTGGACACTCACAGGCATCCACCACAGCAGGAGCTCAGTGCCAGGAGGATAAGGGCTGGCCGGCACTTGTGTCTACACTAGGCTGGCTGTTGTTGGTGCTCTGTGGCCACTTTGGATCCTGAGCCTGCTGAAGTCACCAGAGAAATGAAAATCTTTCTTGTCTGGAGCCTTTCCCTAAAAAAAACCCCCTGCCCTCAGAGCCACCAGACCTGCTGCCTCCTTGGCTTTCTGTCTGCCTTCATTCCAGCCTTCTTGGACCCTTCTTGCTGCTGCTGTTACCATTGCACATCAACCCTCTGGTCACGGAGCCACAGTACTTCTGGCCAAGTGGCAGCAGCAGGCGAGGAAGCTCCTACATGTCAGTCCTCACCTTGCAAGGCACAAGAGTTTCTCATCCTTCATGAATTTACTGCCTCCTACTCCTGGTTTCTAGTACTTGTGGAGAGTTAACCACTCATCTCATCTGGGTAACGTTGGCTTATTTTGGTGATGATGTCATTTTACAGTGCTCTGAAAGGAGTCCATAAAGGTGAGGAAGCACATTTTTCAGTGGTGATGAAGCCCTTCCTCCCTGCCAGCTGAGGACATGAGAGCGTTGGGAGGGGTCATGGAAATGATGTCTTGATTGTCTGTGGGCAGCCTAGGTAGGGATCAGGTTAAAACCTGTCCCAATCCTTAGCCGTGCTCCCTGCATCCACAAATCCACCCCAAGCCCAGGTTCCCGTGTTGGCGCTTGTGTGGTAGAGAGAGGTGTTAGCTTATAGCTCCTGAGATGGCACAGGCTGTACACTTGGGGTCCAACACAACCAGAGGCCAAAGCAAAATCAAGGTGCTAAAAAAATGGGAGTCTTTGTTAGTATTTTTGTAATGACTGCCCATGCCTTGCGTCTGTGCCGTTGCAAGGGCAGAGAGGGCTGTGGCTGTCTGAGCAGGTCAGCACACTTTAGTTGGTCCAGGCATTGCTTTTTATCCACAACTTGTTCTGGAGTAGCAGCCAAAGACTGTATGGACAAAGCTTGTTTGTTTAAACTCAAGTAGGGAAGAGAAACAAGGAGAGCCTGGAGTAGGCAGTATCCGGCAGAGGGAAGAACTCTGGGTGGGTTTCAGGAAGAAATGGAGGTATCTGTCCTGTCCTTTTGCTGACAAGGACTTCTGCCCCATTTGACACAGGGGACTTGGAAGCACTGCATTTTTAGAAGCTTTGTTTTGGCTGTTTGACTTTCTTTAAAAAGTACATCCTTGCTGTATTAGTCTAAGGCTTTTTAGTGATGCCACAGAGGTGAGCGTGTCTCAGTCAGC